ATGATTTTAAATTGATTATTTGTTTGGCTGTTTGGTTGCTGTTAAACGCAAAGCTAAATAAAATGGCTATCTGTGCTCTGCCCATCACAGGCAGATTTTTTAGCGTTGTAAGCCTACAGCCTTACCGTTGTGCCATTAAATGGCTAAAATAATAAAACACATGAACTTTATTACAAATTTAAAACGTTTCGATAAGCTTACGTCATCATTACGTAGCTTAAGCTTGTCGAAACGTCGTACATTTGTAATAAATATTCTTTCGCAGCCCATCTCCGACCTTCATTGTCTAAAAAGTGGGTTCCTCGTCATCGAAAATAAAATACATGAATTGGTGATATAGTGCGTACTTATTAATTTAAAATAATAGTGTAATTGTTGATTTCAGATCAGAGAAAATATCTATCTAGAAAAATTTGCGATCCTATCTCGTGGCCCGACGGTAAATTTGAGGACTTATAATCCTAAAATTCGAGTATAGATACCCACGATGGACAGAGCATAGATGGCCCATTGTGTAGCTTTGTACTTTACGTCAAACAATTAAAATAATAATGACCTTTTTATTGAAACTTCAAAGAAACATTTCTAGAGCATTATATACTCTTTACTACTGTCCAAGACAAAATATAAACATACATCTCTTTATACTTTTCAATTGCTTTAAAAAAACAGAAGGATCGCAAAGCCCTCCACGGTCGAGGGGACCCATTTTATAAGTTACTATGTCGCTGACTCTTTTGGTTCTCGAATAGTTATCTAACATAAACTGCTCGCCTAAGCCTTCTAACGCTGACTCAGCAGTTTATGTTAGATAACTATTCGAGAACCTAAACGCCTAAGCCTTCTAACGCTGACTCAGCAGTTTATGTTAGATAACTATTCGAGAACCAAAACGCCTAAGCCTTCTAACAAATAGATAACTATTCGAGAACCAAAACGCCTAAGCCTTCTAACAAAACACTTCTTTCTTTTTATTTTCTGTCACACCGACCTCTGCCTAGGTGTGGGCTGCTAATTGTTAGATGAGTGTTTTGGCTCAAGAGACTCCCCCCGATAGGGAAATGAGTATGTAATTTATAGTTAAACTCAAGGAATATACTTTATTTCATTGGCTTTCTTTAAAATAAAAACGTACAAAATTTTACAAAAAAGCATCATACGGACGTCTGTGAAGTTCGCGAGTAAAACCACATTCGTTAGTTAATTATACTATGTAAAATGAAAACATCAACTTGTTCAACTATTATAATAACTCTGTGTAGATATGCTAGAAAGGTTAAATGTTTTTTGTGTGGTTCAGATGCAAAATTATGAAAATGTTAGTATGAAACACGAAAAAAAATTCTACATTGAAAAAAGATTCAAGGCTGTATTGTGATATAATCGGGCAGAGAAAAATTATGTTTTTCACCCACCCCCTCCATAAATGATATATACTTTAGAAAGTACTATCATGTATGTACTTAAACTGACTTTGTGGGTTGAAATGAAATCTCGTGCACTTAATCTGATTTAAGTGTTTTAAGAAAATAAAATATAGTCATATGCATTTAACCTTCCCTGAGTTGTTAGGCTCAAATTAAAAACTGTGACTTTGAATTTCTCTCGAGGTTTTTATGGTTAACCGAAATTGAGATTGAGTTTTGAAAAAAGCACGTGCTCTTAATTTAACTTGAGTTACGATGATTAGATGAAAATCTTGAACACTTAATCTGACTTGAGTAATAATAAGTAGAGAAAATCGTACGCTTACACTAAGTTGCTATTAAGACATATTTAATATATTTGGGCACACTATAAGAGTGACGGTCGAATCCAACTTTTTGGGCCGACCAGAGTCGTCCAAGGTTTGGCAGTGGGTGCTGTTGACTAGGTACATTCTCTTTAATCTACCAGAAATTATAGACGGCTGTATACACGTAATCATTGTGTTGTTTTGGCTGTATACACGTAATCATTGTGTTGTTTTGGCTGTATACACGTAATCATTGTGTTGTTTTGGATTAAAATTCTAAAACCAGCGAACCAAAAAGAAAATACGAAGTCAGATGTCAGAATAATATTAATATATATATCGTAATAAATAAATCCAAAGCAAGTTTTCAATGAGTATTAGTCATAAACTTCTGATATCTTCATTTTGTGTTCACGAAAAAGGTACTATATTTATGAGACTTATGATAGTTAACCAATGTATTTTACGGAAAAGGTACTATATTTATGAGACTTATGACAGTTAACCAATGTATTTTACGGAAAAGGTACTATATTTATGAGACTTATGACAGTTAACCAATGTATTTTACGAAAAAGGTACTATATTTATGAGACTTATGATAGTTAACCAATGTATTTTATGGAAAAGGTACTATATTTATGAGACTTATGACAGTTAACCAATGTATTTTACGGAAAAGGTACTATATTTATGAGACTTATGACAGTTAACCAATGTAATTTACGGAAAAGGTACTATATTTGTGAGACTTATGACAGCTAACCAATGTATTTTACGGAAAAGGTACTATATTTTCTAGTTGCAAAACGTATTTATCTCGTATTTTATATTGTTGATTTTTTTTATTATCAGAACTACCTTAGTGTAGTGAAACAACAACCATATTTTAAATTGGGCCTTTTTTATAT